CTTTTCAATGATGGTGCAAATCTACTTAATCCTACGACTAGGATTTGCTCTATAGAAATCTCTCAAAATCTCTATACAAGCTTGATGATTCCTCTAAGCTAAGGTTCTAGAATGTTCTAAGCATCTCTACAAGCTCTAGTTGCTATGTACATGCCTCTAAACTATTCTACAAACTATGAAATGCAATGTACAATAATGCTATCAACTAGTCAAACCCGCTAATAGCTATTTGCCAAACACCATCTTTACAAGAGTTAAACATATGACTTTATAATTGCATTAGTAGTTCGTTTACCAACTGTAACAAGTTGCTAAAGTTAATTTTTGAAGCAGCTTATGAAGCATTAGAGCATCTCTATTATCAATAAACTTTTGATGAATTTTGAAAAGATTATGAGACGATTTTTAACTAATAGAGATAGTGATTTTTTGTTGATTTTTATTCATACAAAAATAAGATTTTTTGTAGGTTAAAAAAAACGCGTTGTGAAACGCACAATTGCGTCTAATGGTGTAACCCAGCGGCACGCGCCTATATGGACGATTGAGAGTGGCCGCTAGCTAGCAACCGCTCTCAATCTTCTTCTTTTTATTGTAATTTTGTTTTCATGCGTAGTATGTATTACAAAATCTTTGTTTGTTTTGTCTTATTATTTTCACAAAATTCAAATTTGTAATACATTTTTTAATTAAATTTTGAATGATTTAATTATAATTAAAATAAATAGAGTAACAACGAAAATAATTTAAATGTTTGTAATTATCATTTTAATTGGACGTATGTATGTTTATTTTAATTAATTTTCATTACAATTATAAATTTATAATTAAAATAAATAAATAAATAATAGTATAGTAAATTGGTGGATTCACAACAAATTGAGAAAAATTTAAAACTAATGGGGAGATATGTTTTTGTGATTGAATGAGATACTAGATGATGTGGATGCTAAGAGCATCTCCAACGGACTGCAATTTTCATCCCCAAAACGCCATCGCATCAAATTTCTCTCTCCAAGGTGGGATGCCATCGCGCTAAAACGCCAAAGAGAATGGCGTTAAAGAAAGCGCAACGCTATATTTGGCGCTGCACTGTTAATCCGCGCTATAATGCCAAAATACCCTTTTGCCCTTGCTATTTTTTATAATTCTAAATATATCCTTTAATTGTTTTATATGTAATTTTTTATTTTGTTAAATACTTATATTTAAACTTTGTATTATTAAATAAAAATTATACCATTTTAAAGATCTCATTGAGACGATCGAAACAAGACTAATATTGAATATATATTAATTAAAATTCCAAATACATTAAACATAACTTGAACATAATAAAAGTTAAAATACATACCGACATACATCAAACATTACTAGAACATAATAAAAATTAAAATACATACGACATAATAATAATATTTGAAAATACAACACAATTTTGAACAAATATAATAAAATTAATAATTTCCTAGTCCACCCCCACTTCCTCCCAAATTATCAAAGAATTGATCAAATTCACGATTTGATTCAACTCCTCCACCATGCTCTTGATTTCTCTCTGCAACAATTTGTAGTTGTTGGCGTCTAATCGACACACGCACAGCTGGATCTTCTATCAAATTTAAATTCATCCTTAAGATTTTGTTATCTTCTTTTCGTTTTGCTAATGCCATTTTTTTCTTTTCCCAATTGATGTAGCAAAAATAAGATGTGAGCTCGGGTGTGTAATGTCGTCCTCAGGGGATTGGGGGTTATGACACGCAATATGCAATCACAATAAACTAGGCACTAGTATAAGGAAATCAACAAGAAGCTAAGCAAACTACAAGTTTAAGGAAATGGTAAGACTAACACATATACACAAAGATAAATACAAAATAAAGAAATATGACTCAAGCTAGGGAGCATTATCATCTAGATGCTTTAACAACCTAAGGGATTAGGGAGAACAAGTAACCAAGGAATCAAGCGGGAACGCACGTAGGTATCCTAGTTTACGAACCATTCTCATGATTAATAAACAAGGATTAGAACAAGGAATTACCCCACTTTCGTGGTGAATCAATTCCAAGTCCATCAAGCACACAAAGCATCTAAAGCCCCCAATTCCTCCAATTTTCATAGGAAGAAATCGGGTCTATGCAAGGGGTGGCTTGGATTCATCACCCAACTCTCGTTGAGGCAAGGAATCCTCCAAAAACAAGCTAATGAATGTGTACATCAAACATTAACAAGATATAAAAACAAAACCTTCACAAACACATGAACCCTAGGTTGGAGTTCTTCCCCTTTTTTGCAATAATCACAAATCAAGCATCAAGATAGATAATACAACCCTAACTCAAGTCCATAAACTAACTACTCATAATTAAATAGGATAAAGAACATAAAAGCATAAGTAATAAACATAAATCTTGCAAAAGAAAGAGATAAAAGGAATGAAAGCTTCTCTATTGAAAATGGATGGTGGAATCTTGAAATGTTGGAATCCAAGCTTCAAATCCAAGATTACAAGCTTCAAAAGTGTTAAGAAACATAAATCTAAGCCAATTCTAACCTAAAAATATGAAAGGAAGTGAAAGGAAATGTCTTGGGTTCTAACAAGAGTCAAAACCGTGGAAATAGAGCTCAATTCGAGCTTAAAAAGGGGCAGAGCAGGTAGGGACGCCCTCAAGGACGGGCGTACGCTAGGGGGTACGCCACCTGCTTCATTCTTGAGCTGATGGATGGGCTGATGGATGGGCGTACGCAAGGCAGTACGAGGCTCCTGGAAACAGAATTCTGTGCACTTGTCTTGACTTCTAGGCTATTTTCCTCCTCTAAAACCATTTTATTGGCACTTATGGTCTTCAACAAAGTTGTATCTCTTTAAGTTGGATTTAGAATGGTGCAAGAATCACCCCATTTGGACATTCCTAGGCCTAGATATGGTCAAAACACCGAACAGTGTCCGAAATGAGCGAAAATTACAATGTATTGATCTTTTGCTCCTCTTTTGTTTTGGTTTGCCCAAATGACTAAGACCATTGAATACACCACTCCTAGGCTCCCTTGGAAGTATTTTTTCCATCCTCTTAACTTCTCATTGGCTCCCATGGACTCCTAATGCATCCATAATGCGGCGCCACATCCATAATGCTCCACTTGACTCCAATATCCACCAAAATGCATGATATTACTCATCTTTGCTTCCAATGCTTTCCAAACCAAACTCCTTGCAAAATAACACAATTTAGTCCCAATCTCATGAAATTTGGAATGATCTATATGCAAAATGTCTTAGAGAAAGGGGGGAAAATATAGACAAATAAGCACTTATCACCAATGTTATTTTGTTCGCTACATTTTGAGCTGTAAGCAAATCAAGCTCATATTGTTTTTGGAGTAGCTTATGATTGTTTTCGAACATTCCTTTGAATTGTGCAGTTTGTTGTTCTATTGCGGCAATAAATTGATTGCGCTCATCCGAGAGTTTATGCTTCATCTTTTCTTTCTTCCTTCCCGTAGGACGTTCACCTACATTGTTCATTTCATTACAATGTTCATCAGTTTCAAAATCATCATTCAATTCAACAGCAAATGAGGAAGAGCCTATTGATTTCTCGGTTCCGAAAGATTGTGATTGTGATCCTTCGGAAGTTCTTTTTCGACCTCCAACATTTAGCAAGCTCCCAGTTCTGCAAAATTTTTGCATGCCTTTGACAATCGACCATACATGATCAAACTTAAATCCGCCTTTGAATTTGGGATCTTGCTTTACTAACTCCTTTGCTCTATCAAGCTGTTATAAATAAAATATAATTCTAATTAAACAACGCAATTAAAACAAAAAATAAGAGAAAACTAAATAACACAAATTTACAAGATACTCACAATATCTTGTTCAGATGCACCACTTGGGTTCATGTTCTCTATTTGTTGAATGCACCCTCTTAGGTTGCTAACCGCTGTTGATATATTTGCCCAACGACTATGCAACGATCTTGAAGTTCGATCGGTACAAATGTGTGCCGGTAGCATTTGTTTATATTTTTGTGCAATGTGTTCCCATAAATCTGGTGCAGAGCGATCATTGCCCTTTTCAGGATCTTGGGCAATATCCATGAATATAGTACAAAGGAGTTTATCTTCTTCATTAGAGTATGAGGAAGTTCGGATTGAACGTGAGGGTTTTGACATATTTCAATGACTGTTAAACTAGAAAGAGATATTGATATTCAAAAGATAGGTGGTATTACTTCTAAAATTGAATTGTAGTATTTATAGAGATACAAGCATACCAATAACAGATGTGATCTTCGCGATTAATCTAACGGTTCTAAACAATTCAGATAAAAGTTGATTCTTCAAAGATGCATGTGATATCTTTTATTGGAGTATGTGTGGAAAAAGGACAAGCATACCAATGAACGAATGTGATCTTCACGATCTAATCTAACGGTTCTAAACAATTCAGATAAAAGCTGATTCAAAGATGCATGCGATATCTTTTATTGGAGTATGTGCGGAAAAGGACAAGCATACCAATGAACAGATGTGATCTTCACGATCTAATCTAACGGTTCTAAACAATTCAGATAAAAGCTGATTCTTCAAAGATGCATGTGATATCTTTTATTGGAGTATGTGTGGAAAAGGACAAACATACCAATGAACGGATGTGATCTGTTTTATATACTCTCCTGTATCTCTGTTCGGTTGAAACTGAATAACAATCGTTTCTCTAATCATCTTCACGATCTAATCTAACGGTTCTAAACAATTCAGATAAAAGCTGATTCAAAGATGCATGTGATATCTTTTATTGGAGTATGTGTGGAAAAGGACAAGCATACCAATGAACGGATGTGATCTTTACGATCTAATCTAACGGTTCTAAACAATTATGATCATGCCTATAAAAATGTTCTTCATCACCAACAAATTGAGCATTCAACCCATTATCATCTATCTCTAAACATACGAATTCAAATATGAATTCCAACACTTGAAAACGTCATATGCCATTTTCTTCATCATCATCCTCATCTTCATCATCATCATCACCAGATTCTAAGTACAATCTCACAAGTGCAATACGAGCACAAACACAGTTTTTAACCCATGCATATACTAGCCACAACCTTGTCATAGCTTCCTACATGAAAAATATGGATAATCAACCCCCAAGGCATGAAGGTTCGACTTTTGGTCATAGAGTGATTCATTGTGATCGTGAAGAAGCAGATCGAAGATTATGGAATGATTATTTTTCAGAGTATCCAAAATATTCTGAAGCAATGTTTCGTAGACGATTTCGAATGAGTCGAAATTTGTTCATACGAATTGCCAATGTTGTTAAAGGCCATGACAACTATTTTGTGCAACGGAATGATAGAATCGGTAGACTGGGCTTATCTACTTTACAAAAAGTTACAGCGGCGTTTCGAGTTTTGGCGTATGGAATACCAGCAGATGAATATATCCAGATTGGAGAATCAACTACAATTGAAAGTTTGAAGAGATTCTGTCGAGCAATTGTAGATGTCTTTGGGGAACGATATCTAAGAGCACCTGATGCTAATGATGTTGCACGGTTGCTTCAAATTGGCGAAAAACGTGGTTTTCTAGGGATGCTTGGGAGTTTAGATTGCATGCACTGGACATGGAAAAATTGTCCAACTGCTTGGGCTGGACAATATGCTGGGAGGAGTAGAGAACCAACTATTATTCTTGAAGTTGTAGCCGATTATGATTTTTGGATTTGGCATGCACACTTTGGTATGCCGGGGTCGAATACCGGCATTAATGTGTTGGAAGGATCTTATTTGTTTTCCAATCTTGCAAACGGTATAGCACCTCCTTGTCATTATGTTATTCAAGGACAACAGTACCACACTGGATATTATTTAGCAGATGGTATATATCCAAAATGGTCCACATTGGTACAAACAATTCATGAACCTCGAGGACCCAAAAAGAAGTTATTTGCGATGATGCAGGAAGCGTGTAGAAAAGACGTAGAACGTGCATTTGGAGTTCTCCAATCACGATTTGCAATAGTCAAGGGACCGACACGTTTTTGGGATAAATGTGTATTGCATGATATGATGTCATCTTGCATTATAATGCACACTATGATCATTGAGGACGAACGTGATGAGCAAGCAGATATACAAGGTTGGAAGGAAGCACCGACTCCTGAAGTTGATATAGCTAGAGATGAGAATATTATATTTCAAGAATTTCTTGCTCGGCATAGACAAATTAAAGATAAAGAAGCTCATTATGCACTCTGTAATGCATTGATTGAGCATTTGTGGGAATGATTTAGTAATTTTGATAATTAAATGTACTAGATGTTGTATGTTGTATTATTATTGTGGAATAAATTAAATTTTCAAAAATATTGTTAAATTCGATTTTTTAAAATAATTAATGTTATAAAAAAATTAATGTTAATTTATTTACATTACAAATTATATTTTATATTAAACTAATTAAGTTCGAACTAAATTATATTAAACTAACTAAATTCGAACTAATAATTAAAAAATAAAATTATTTTAGTGTAAAAGTTTGGTGTTTTGATGTAAATGGATTGGGGATGAATAAAATTTCGTGTGAGAATACGTTGAGAATATTCCTTCTGATGTGATATTTGTTGAAAAAATTTGGTGTTTTGGAGATGGAGGGGTTGGAGATGTTCTTATAATCTTTAGCCTTGATTATTATTGATTTATAATATTTTCATTATTTTAAATTTTTAATGTTTAGAACTTTGTGAAATTAGAAGTTGAGAACCCAAAGTGTTATTTATCTTGCACAAAGTACTAAAGATTATATGTTCCTTGATATTTGGTTACTTATCACGTCAGTTCATGAGTTCGACTCTCTATGAAAACTACCAATAGTTATGCTGTGCATCCGTATGCACCATGGTGCATACGGATGCAAAAACGACGTCGTTTTATTACAAACGCGCATCTCCTCTTTAAAAAAAAATTCAAGTTCGATTCCTAGCAACAACATTATGTTGTTCATTCATTATGGAATTTTAGTTCATAGATTATGGAATTATAGTTCATTGATTATGGAATTATAGTTCATCGATTATGGAATTGTAGTTCATCGATTCTGAAATTTTAGTTCATAGATTTTGGAATTTTAGTTCATTCATTCTGAAATTTTTAGTTCATAGATTAGATTCTGGAATTATAGTTCATCGATTCTGAAATTTTAGTTCATATGTTGTTGCTGGGAATCGAACTTGATTTTTTTTTTTAAGGGGAGACACGCGTTTTATTAAAACGACGTCGTTTTTGCATCCGTATGCACCATGCATGGTACATACGGATGCACAGCATAATTTGCCGAAAACTACCTATGAAAACCTAGACTGGTTTATAGCGTATCTTCGGATAAGTGTTACGAATTTTCACATAAATTAAAGAATTGATCCACAAACTTCATTTATTATTAGTCAGGTTTAAAAATTTGCCATAAAGTAATTCAAGTTGCATGATACAATATCTAAACATATGGTCAAGTATGTAGTTGTCCACAAACCCTGCATTCTGTATCACACATTTTGGTTCTGTATTCCAACATAAAACTTGTTGATTTCTCATTGAAAACACTATATATATGCCTTCCCTACATCTGGAAGTCTCAGGATCTATAAACCACTCTCCCTATCCATGACAGTATAGGATGCTCCATCTTTGAGTTGAAAATGAGAATTGGAGGAAGCCAAATGGTTCTTGGCTAGAGTGAAATCAATTATCCATTTGGTTTCCTCCAATATCTCATCTTCACCTCCCAGACAATCAAACTGACAAGGAAACACAAGTTTTCAGAGGTAAGCAATGCCATAATGTGTAAGACATGAAATTGATACAGATTCAGAAACTATTTTCATAACTGATATTTCAGGAATTGTCTTAGTTTTATGCATTGAACAAACAAACATGTCACTAAAAGCCCATCTGAGCTAGCAGTGATTAATGAAAATACATTCCAACTTACATTTGATCAGTTCGCCGCTGAAATTACGCGGTTGCACAGAGTAAGAATTTCTTGTATATTTTGCTTTTCAAGCCAGGTAATGATACAACTTCCTATCTGTTTTATCTCTTTCCAAAAATTCCCGCTCAATCAAAGACTCGATACGTTTCTTTATAACGACTGGATTTGGCAGGAACCGGGACTGCAGCTGCTTCGTGACTTCTGCAACAATGTTATTATGATCAAGCACCCTTCGTGACTTCATAATTCTCACTATTGCTGCCTCTATCTGAGGTTTCCTGTCCTCCTCAACTCTTTGTCGGGTCTCTTGTTTCTCTGGTTCAGATTCCTTCTGTGCAACAACGGTGCCTATTTTAACCTTGAAGAATTTGCTAGTGAATTTTTCATTAAAGAAAAAGGAATCATCTTCAGCAATATCCTTGCTCATGGGCTCCTTCCGCAAAACATTCTTCCCCTTGACACAAGCTAGAGATTGCAAACACCTCTTTAAATCTGAGACATGAATCTCTGTAGCTTGTTCTATGTCTTTATAACTCAACCTATCAGCATTATTGAAGAGCATAAGGATGCACATCTGATATGTGGACACATTAAGCTCATGCTTCTGCCCTTTCCCAAATGTTGCTTTCAAGTCAGCTGTGCCCATATTTGTCTGCCATGTCAACCTCCTCCCAGTATGAGTCCCTAGGTAGTACGTCCTAAACTTTTCACACACCCCAAGAATTTCAGTAGGAAGATTGCATGGTGTAATAGATTGAGTAGGCCAGGACCCTGTAGTAAGGACCTGGACTGCAAGTGTAGGACCATCAGCTATTTCACCACCCATAGCTGCATTAAAGCCCTGCATAGTATCCTGTGAAGTCTTCATGTCAGTAAACATGCCTTCCAGTTTTGATGTAAATTGATACCCACACTCTGTTTTCAGCTTAACTATCAAACTTCTCTCAGCATCATCAGAGATGGTCTTCCCTGAAAGAAGCCTCTTGGCAAGGTGCTGCTTGTAGTACTTCTCAAATACATCTTTCTCCTGAAGGTAACGGAAAAGCATCATCACTTTGTCCAATAAAATCTCTACATCCTCCTCGCTAACCCCTTTCAACCCTTTCCTGAGATTGTCATCCACAAACAAAGAGATAAACTCAGGAGATCGAGGATTCAAATTGATAAAATACTCAAATGATGAATTTAAGGCATTCTGAAACAATTTGTCATTGTTAAATGCCTTGTTGATAATCCTATCATGTTTATCCTTCTCGTCCAAAAGCCTTTGAACAAAGTCTACAGGATCCTTTAACTTTTCTGGATCAGTGACAAGCTGCTTACCAACTTCTCGAATGTGAGAAGTCATGACATCTCTAAGTAGTGAGAGTCCATTCGGTACTCTTCGAAACAAATTGTACATCCTTCCCAAATCATCATACTTATCATCTAGAATTAAATTCACTAGACCTGAGTTTTCCATGTGAACTAATCTGTACATATGGCTTTCAATCATCTCCTTCTCCACAACAGCAGTAATTTTTGCCTCACTTCTTACATCCAAGTAATGAGATACCCTTTCAATCTCTTCATTGAGGCGTTTCTCAGCTTTCTTTAGATAATCTCCACAATCACAGGACTCAATGAACTGCTGAGACTCAACACGATAAAAATCAGCTGAGACATCAAGGAAAGGCTTCTCAAAGTTTTCTTCATAAACCGAGCAACCTAAATCCATCAGCATTTTAGTTATATTCCTCATTAAACTCCTATTTATCACTTCACCTGTCCTCTCATGTTCCACAAGTTCAAGAAGTGTATCCTGAAGCCTCGTCTGGATTTTGTTAGAGTGGATAACATTGTCTCTCCACAAATTCATTCCAAGCTCATAAACTGGTGTTTTGTGTGTACTAGGAATGAAAGTCCTGTCCATGTACATTAGTATGTCACGGATCATTTGCAATGCCTTGTTATGATCTGCCCATTTCCTGTTCAGCTCTTCCAAAAATAAACCGCCCTGAGCAACCTCTATTGACTTTGAAATTTCTTTCAAATGTTCAGTCATAGTGAACACAAGGCCAGAGTAGAGCTTCTCTCCAAATTTATGTAGGACCATGTTGTATGCATTCCTGAAAATACCATACATTTAGAAAACCAAAATGTAGCAGGAAAACTGTAAGCCAATAACTTAATATTCAAGTACAATAAAAATTCACTATTGGAAACCACCAAACTTCCTTCATCTAAAACACAGAAGATTGGAAGGCCAATGACTATAAACACACTAACTCCTACCACCCAATCACCCCACAACAATCATAAGCAACATAAAACTTTACCTATTTTAAAGTGTAAGTTCACTACTGAAAGGAAAAAAGAATCATGCAGTCAAAGGAGAAAGGATATCATTGGGCACACAAACTGTCAATGGCACTAAAACTTTGGAGCTTCAGTTAGACATGGACTGAAGTACTGAACATGATAATTGACTACGATGTCAGGTGAACACCCAATCAATAATTACAAGTTCCTCAACATTAAGATGTAAATGAGAAAATTTTGCAAAATTTCTAAATAATCAAATGATATCATCCACATACAGAGATGCTTACTTTATGTAACTTACGACACAAGACATATGAATGAAGCAAAACCATTGAAAACATTGATAATAATTGTTTATTCTTCATCATTCTACCAAAGCTAGCTCGTGGTGTAGCTTTTGAATTTATGGTTTTGTTCTCCTTATCATTTAGGAACACCAACAAGGGACCAGGGTTCTTTTAGAGGATTCTACAGTAAAACACAAACACCTTGTCTTCCAACTAGAAAGGTCAAGAAACCCTACTAGGGAATACCAAAACTGCAGTGTGAGGGCATCATACTTTCCTATAATAGCTCATGCTTCTAAAAATAACATCAAACACAGCATAAGGTAACATGGGTTGGAAAGAGAGAATTAACCTTGCAAGAAGCAGAAAGCACTCAAATTCTAGTTAAAACCACATCCATCTTACTAAGTGAAATTAAGCTCTCTCTTCTTTTTTTTTTTTTCAAAAGCACATGATTGTTATCCAAATAAAAAGGGGGACCTCATTTCTTCAAATCCATCGTTCAGAATTCCAAGTTGTAGCAGCATCAAATTTCATGTGTTTACCATTCTTGGATATCAAAATCAGATACAGAACAAGTATAAAGTGTATAGGCAAATGAGTTAAACGAAAAAGCACTCCAAACCTATAGAGCTCTTCAAAACTAAGGCCACTGGCGTTATGATTGTAAATCTCGTGAATCGCATGTTCAATGATATTCCAGGTCTTCTCTGCATATTTCGGATCAACCACGACCCGATGCTTAAACGCCTCTATCTGAAAATTCCTCTTCTTCGGCGCACTCATTTCTCGCTTAAACTGTCCACCGCTTCGGAACCCGACTCCTCGGCCGTGCCCGCACCCGTGACTCCAGAACTCAAATCTCACCGACGGGTAACTATCGATCTGATATATACAAGCTAGGGTTTTTCTGCAAAATGAAATTAGGGTTTGAAATATTATGCAAGAAGAAAAAATCTTCGGACTTCCAAATTACAATTGTTTATTCATTCACCTTTGTGAAAAGCAAATCAGAAGCTCCCAAATCGACTAATCGGTTAGGGTTGAGAGTTTCGTTTACGCAGCAATCACCTATACTGTGTTGAAGGACTTGATCCTCATTTCTGATCCTCATTTCTTTTTCCTTTTCTTTTTTTGGTTTTCTTTTTTGTTTTTTGTGAACCGCCATTTTTTAATCATTATTTTTAGCTACCATCCTAGACCTAACTCCTAAGTAAATCATGAATGTCATGGAACAACTTGATTAATTTATAAATATAAGGTTGCAATATGATGTACTCCGTAAAAGATAATTAGTGAATTCCATTTTTATTATAAATTTATAGGTGATGGGTAATTTTTAGTCTATTTTTTATTAAAATAATTTTTTTGGTCTTAATATTATTAGAGTTTTTTTCATTTTGGTCCTTTGACTATGGTTCATTCTCAATTTTGCATTTCAACTTTTAATTGCACCTAATGTGGTCCCTTGACTTTTAAAAATGATCCCAATTTGGTCCTCCGTTACCTTTTCCATCAATTAGGCGTTAAGTTGGGGGGTATTTTGGTCCATTCATCTGTTGCGCGCCTAATATACCTGTTGGTCGTCTCTTTCTTTGCTTTTTTCTTCATAGAGAAGTTCTTCTGCAAACAAACACCAAGAACCCTAGATTTCTTTGCTTTCTTTTTCCTCTATTGCTTACAATGTCAACAACAAAGGCTAAAGCTGCGAGTTATTCGCCTCGGCCAGAATCATTTCCATGGAAATCGGTTTCTTTCGGCATCACCAATTGCTCGGTCTTGGAAGAGCTCAACATGACGGGTACATATGTGACCGGAGTTTTGCCGGACTTGACGCCTTTGCAGGCTTTAAGGTCGCTTGATTTATCTTTCAACCTCTTAACAGGTGAGTTCCCTTTGTCGGTCACTAACCTCAGCAATCCGGAAGTTCTCAACTTCAATGAGAATGGCGGTTTCACCCGGGGCGGCTACCGGTGAACATCTCTATTGGAGAACAGTGAGCCAAGATTTGAAGAAGACAACGAAGCAGCAGCCAACTAAAGCTACTGAGTCTGCTAACACAAATCAATAGCAAGAAAGGGCATTAGAGTCTTTAATGATCATCAGTTTGTTATAGCTTGTTATAACCGTTTTTCCTCATGTATTTTAGCAGACTACATTCTCTGTTTCCATTATGTAATCTTTCACTCAGATAATCGCTGCACTTCTTTCTTCACCACTTGACGCGTTACTCTTGAGCCATTCCATCAATCTCTGCAGGGCTGAGAAAGCTCAAGAATCTGGTGTTAACGGCGTGCAAACTCTCAGGGAGAATCCGGGTGGGAATTGGGAGCATGGCCTCACTGGTGGACCTTGAACTGAGTGAAAATGGCATTGTGGGAAAGATCCCGGGAGAGCTAGGGATGTTACCCAACTTGCAACTTCTTGAGCTTTATTACAACCAACTCGACGGAGAAATCCCAGAGGAGCTTGGGAACTTGAGTAACTTTGTGGACTTGGATTTGTCCGGGAACAGATTAATCGGCAAAATTCCGGACTCAATTTCCTGTCTTCCCAATCTACAAGTCCTGCAAGTTTACAACAATACTCTCTTCGGCCAATTCCCAGCCGGCCTGGCTAACTCCACCACCTTGAGAATCTTGTCCCTTTACGCCAATTCCCTGTCCGGGTAAATCCCATAAAACTTTGGGATGTCATCTTCTCTAGTCACTTAAGATTTGTCGGAAAATCAATTCTCTAGAAAGCTACCACCAAAGTTGTGTAACGGAGGTAAGTTGACGTGGATCCTTCTACTCCAAGATATGTTCTCAAGGGAATTGCCAGCAAGTTATCGGAATTGTCGAAGTGTTGTGCGGTTTAGAGTGAACTATAATTTTTTAGAGGGTAAGATCCCAGAACCCATATTTAGTCTCCCCTACGCTTCAATAATTGACGTGAGTAATAACAGGTTTAACGACTCATTCCCCAGAACCATTGAGAATGCTAAGAACTTATCAAAACTGTTCATCTAGGGCAACATGATTTCCGGCACGCTCCCTTGTGTAATCTCTAGAGTTACCAATCTTGTGAAGCTTGATGCCAGCAACTTCTCTGTGAAGAAGAAAGCAAAGAAAGAGCGCGCAGCAGATGAATGGACCAAAATACCCCTCAACTTAACGCCTAATTGATGGAAAAGGTAACGGAAGTCCATATTGGGTGCAATTAAAAGTCGGAATGCAAAATTGAGAATGAGCCATAGTCAAGGGACCAAAATGGGAAAAAACTCATATTATTATGACATGACCAATTTTGGTCCTCTATCAACAAAATTATTAAAATTTTGTTAAATAGAAAGACATTTTGATCTTTTAAATACAAAGTGCGTTGACCCGTTATATATTTTATGTTTACTTTTTGAAAAAAAAAATAATTGAATAGCGAAATACTCTTGTATTTAAAGCAATTTCAATGATTTTTTTTGATAGAGGACCAAAATTAGTCATGTCACAATAATACTAAGACCAAAAATGAATATTCTGATTAAAAAAGACTAAAAGTAAACTGACACCTATAAATTTAGGACCAAAAATTGAATTAACTCGACTTACCAATCTACAATGAAAATCAAACTCTATCTATAACCCATATACTTCCAACTAGTTGTGCTCGGGTCAATTATTGACTTGACAAATTAGACTACATATTGCATTATTAGACTACATATTGACAAACTAGTATTGCACCCGTGCGATACACGTTTAGTAACATATATTCAATAATTATATTATTTATCATATTTAAATAGTGTAAATAAATAAATAAATAAATATTCAAAATATTATTTATATATAATATTCTAATAATATCTTATTATAATTTATAATAAAGTATGTATCGTATTTAATATCAATTTTTTTTTACTTTATAATGACTTAGTGTTTAGATTAAATATTATAAAGTAATTTCATAATAAAGTATGTATCGTAACGTTTGATATTTAAATATTAACAGATTTTGTAATTTTCCGTTTCTCATGTTTAAAAATAAATTTTAATTTATTCTATGTACAGAATCTTTATGTCTAAGGTACAAAATTTTGTAACATGATGTACATAAACGCATAACACGAAATACATACACATGTTTTCTATTTTACTTATTCTATGTGTATTATTTAAGGTTTCCAAGATAAAACTCCCTTGATCCCATTTTATGTGTTTGGTTCGATTAACGAGGAAAGTTATTTTTAATTATATTTTTCATACTATTAAGTTTAGTATTAGTATACAAAATTTATATATTTAAAAACTACATTAAAAGTACTATTAAATAAAAAAAATTAAATTTAAAATAGTAAAAAATACTGAAAAAAAAGGAGTTGGTTTAACCAATGAATAGTAAGTAAGACAGATAAAATAGGATAGAGAGAGTATATTTCTTTAGTAAATACGGGTCATGCGTGTTGCTTCCATGGTGGATCATGGTCCAAAACGACATCGTTTTATATCAAATGTCAATTAGTACACCATATTTAATAACATTATCATAAACCATGTTCATAATATTTGTTCTGTATGTCCATAAATCAAATCTTAGTGTCCATAAACACTAAACTAAGTGTACATTATATGCATTTCATTCACTCTATAGTATGTTCATACTATTCATTCGATATGTTCATAAAAATAAAGTTTAATGTACATAGACAATATACTATTAACACATCATGTTTAGTAATATTCATCGTGCACTATACTCATAGTATATGTTCTATATGCTCATAAATAAAATATAAACATTAATGTTCATAAATACTAAATAAATTAATTAAATATAAATCATAAGCATTTACATTCACTTTTGGTTCATAATATTTAGAGAAAATTTCACTTTTGATCCCTTGACTATTATACATGAATCACATTTGGTTCTTAACTATTAAAATTTTATAATTGGATGCATGACTATGTAATTTGTATCACATTTGGTCATGTAGTCCAATTTCCTAGCCAACTATTGTCGAAAGTGCTGCATTTGCTTCTTCCAGAAGGAGCACTGCATGCATTTACTTATTCTGGAAGGAACACTTCCGACAATAGTTTGTCAAAAAATTAGATGACAGATTGACAGGACCAAATGTGATACAAATTACATAACCATGCACATAATTAGAAAATTTTAATAGTCAATGACCAAATGTACGTGATTCATATAATTATAATAGTCAATGGACCAAAAAGTGAAATTTATTCTACTATTTATTTTATATGTCTATAAACATAAGTTTTAATGTCCAAAAATCCTAAACTAAATGTATACCATATGTATTTCCATTCATTTTATAGTAGGTTCATAATGTTATTTTTATATGTTAGTAAAAGCAAAGCTTAATGTATATAAATATTACACTAAAGTAATGACTTTATGTACCTATAGATTTATTTTAAAATAAAAAAATATATATTAATATTGATGTCATTTAAAAGATCTTAATTAGAGTTTTTTAATGATATATTTTTTATACATACATTAGGTTTATTTATACAAAAAGAAAAAAGAGAAAAATAAACTCAAGTTAGAAAAAAAAAAAAAAAGGTATAAGAAGAAAAATATATGAATTATTAGGTGCATGTATCAATTTCATTGGTCAAATCTCATATTAAATTTTTATATTTTTATATTTAAAAGGTAATTTTGGAGGAAAATTGAACCAATATTATTGACCAAATCCCATAACTTTATTAGTATAAGAGATTAGGCTACCTTAAAACTCTATACAAAATTAAATAGGAATTGAGGTTGTATATGCCTTAATTTGATTTGTTTAATTGTTACACTGCATTTCATAACACATATTGCGATCCAAAAATTGTACTCGTTTAACCATAACCAGGCCATAACTTGTAAAAATATATTGGGATTATTTTTATCCTTAATCATTCGAGTATTTTTAAATACATAAACTAATTTATTAAAAAAATGAATTCAAGTACATTATACAAATGTCTACAACTTTCTAAAAAAAAAAAAATTAAAAAAAATTCTAGTTTGAAGAACACATAGAAAAACTTTACACCATCCAAGTGTTGAAGTTATAAAAAATAATTTTTTTAATATAATGGTGAAACTATAATAAAAGTATATATATATATATATATATATATATATATATATATATATGGCCACTCCTGTAAACCCGACACAAATCAAAATGTTAAACAAGTATATCATATATTCGTAGAACTTTATACTTCAATATTAATATTATATTAATATTTTAATATAATATTAATATATACTTTTCAAAAAATGGATCTAGTACATTATAAAACTGTCTGTAACTTTGTGAATAAAAACTATTTTGAAAATTATATAGAAAAATATACAACACCAAGTGTTGAAGTTATAAAAATAATTTCAATATAACAGTGAACCATAAAAGTATATATAATATATTAATATTATATTAAATATTAATATATTGTTATTACCTCAGCTCCCATCAATAATTTATTTCCATTAATATAATTAAAGGAGTATTCAGTTTACATTATATATATATATAGATCCAAAAAAAAAAAAAAAAAAACACATAATAAAGTGCGATCAATAATGGTATTTATCAACAAATTAAATTCAAAATAGATGATAAAAAATAAAATTGTGTGTTCCCAACTAATAAAAATTAGTTAAGACATTGAAGTATTCAAAGCCTAGAAACATGGTACACCAAGAAAATGAAAACCACCCAATGTACATATTGATGGAGTTGGCAGGATGAAAAAGAACAACCAAGAACATTCCCTTCAAGCATTAATCCTTTTCTCTGATCTCTGTCTGCACGTATTGGGCAGGAGGATCAGAGAAGAGAAAGAGGAATAATGTATAAGCCAACCCCATTTTTATCTGTAATTTTCTTCCTTTCCCTCATCTTCGTTAATGGCCATTGCCGGAGCGTGGGCACAAATGCAAAGGTATTGAAAGAGAACGGCAAAAAGATTTACATCGTGTATCTCGGCGGGAAGCCTCACGATGATCACAGGCGGATCAAAGAGTCGCATTACGACTTGCTCGCCGGGGTGGTCGGGAGTCATGAAGAAGCTAGGAAGGCGATGGTGTATAGTTATAGATATGGGTTTTCTGGATTTGCGGCGGTGCTGACGGCGTCTCAGGCGAAGAAGGTCGCCGGGGTAGCTGGGGTGGTTAGCGTGGTGGAGGATAAACACCACAAGGTTCAAACTTCCCGGAGCTGGGATTTCCTGGGGCTATCGGAGGGTGCAAATGTTCCCGGAGAGCTCCTGCGTAAAACCAACAAGGGAGATGGGATGATCGTGGGGGTTGTAGATTCTGGTATTTCCACCGAGTTGCCGTCGTTTGGAGATGCGGGGATGGGGCCGGTGCCGCAGCGGTGGAAGGGGAGTTGCAGAGCTATACCTGGGCTTAGGTTTAATGAGTCGGAGCTTTGTAACCGGAAAGTGATCGGAGCTCGGTGGTTTTTCAAAGGAGCGTTGCTCTCCCAGGATGTAGATTTGAATAAATTTCTTGTATCGGATAGTTACTCGGGATATGACGTGGCGGGTCACGGTTCACAAGTGGCGAGCATCGTGGCCGGTTCGTTCGTGCCTAACGCCACCACCTTGGGGATCGATGTGGGCATGGTGAGAGGCGGCGCGACGGCGGCGCGAGTGGCGTCGTACAAGGCGTGTTGGAATCTAGACCCCGAAAGATTCGTGTGCGCCGGCGCGGATCTTCTCGCCGCAATTGATTACGCAATCCACGATAGGGTTGATGTCATATCCGTCTCCGTCGGGAGCCCCGTGCCTCTCGCCTCCGACATGGAAGCCGAGAACGGCATCGGGATCGGCTCCTTCCACGCCATCACCAGAGGCATCCCCGTCATCGTCGCCGCCGGCAACGCCGGCCCTTCCGCCTTCACAATCACCAACGTCGAGCCCTGGGTCATCACCGTCGCCGCTTCCACCATCGACAGAATCTTCGCCTACACCATAACTCTGGGCAACGGCGAGAAATACGCAGTGGATTGGCAATTGCCCAACGGAACAGCTCTTAGTCATCCCTTGCATTTTGCCGGTAAATACATGGGCGAGGCCGATTTGATGCCGAGAAAGCTTGATCCCGCCGAAGTTAAAGGCAAAATCGTCTTCATGTTCGGCGATGACCTCGATAGAAACCTCGTATTAGTAGACAAAGCAACCGATGCCGGCGCCGTCGGAGTCATCTACTCAAATCCCTCCAACGTAGATTCTTTACCTATATTGAACGCGCGCATCCCGTATGTTCAGGTAAATTTCAATTCAAATAGCTATTATAGCTGATTGGGTTAATTAACATTAGAAATATGTTAACTAAATTAGCTGTTTAGTAAATGGCATGGTTGCAGTAGGCGCAAGGCGGGTGCCGGGCGGTCGGTTGTCAGCGCCTAGTTAGGCGTTCGGCGGACGCCCTAGACCTAGGCGAGTTGCCTAAACCCATTTTTACAATAGTGATAAATGGTTGTTGTTCTTCTTCTTTAGGTTGATTATGATGCCGGGACAAGAATAAAGGACTACATATTCCAGTCAACGATGACGCCCACTGCTCAACTATCGTCTCCCAAGATTCAAGTGGGAAGGGCATTGACTCCCAAAGTCCCAGATTTTTCATCCAGAGGACCGAGCTCCTTCGCGCCGGGGATCATGAAGCCCGACATTGCAGCGCCCGGGGATAAAATCATGTGCGCCGATCCAACTTCAGATGGGGGATTCAGGATCTCGTCAGGAACATCACACGCCGCGCCTCACGTTTCCGCCATCGTCGCGCTCCTGAAAATATCTCATCCCGAGTGGTCGCCGGCAGCCATCAAATCCGCGCTGGTCACCACCGCCTGGAACTCCGACACCTATTTTTCCCCCATCTTCGCCAAAGGATCCTCGCTGCGGGCGGCGGACGCCTTCGACTACGGCGGCGGCATCGTCAATCCCAACGCCGCCGACGATCCCGGCCTGGTTTACGACATGAGAGGAATAGATTACGCACAATACCTCTGTGCACTCGGCTACAACAATTCACTCATCTACAAGACCATATCAGGAAACCGAAACCGCAGTGATACAGAAGAACACACAATCTGTCCCAAGACCAGACCTTCAATGCTGGATCTCAACCTCCCTTCAATGGTGGTACCCGATCTCTTCAAACCAGTAACCCTGAGGAGAACCGTGACGAACGTGGGACCTGTGAATTCAGTTTACAAAGCCATCGTCAAGTCTCCCGTGGGGGCCGTCGTCACCGTGAAGCCTAAGGTGTTGAGGTTTGATGGTAATAGAAAGAAGAGAAGCTTCACAATGAGGGTTTCTGCAGACAAACTGGTGAACTCTGCATTCACATTTGGGAGCTTGACCTGGAGTGATGGAGTTCATAATGTTAGAACCCCAATTGCTGTCAGGAAGATGATTGTTCCCCTTTACCTTTAATTGTAAAAATGGGGTACGCTGGGATTGTTCTTCACACACACACACACACAAAAAAATAATCATGCATGTAAATAAAGGTGAGCCGTTTGGTTTTATCCGAAGAATTCATAAACTGTACTTATATAATTTCTTAATTAAAGCATGCAAATCAAAATTTATATAATGTTGATTGGTTGAGTATCCTATAATATAATTTTTCATATCAATTGTATTTCTCTTATCAACTCAAGAAAAACGGAAGAGAAAGAAACAAATCAGAAAAGAAAGGAAGAGGTCGGAGAATGATGGGCAGAAAATCAGAGAAAAACAAAAAAGAAGGAAAAGGGAAAAACGAGAGAGCTGAGCTGAGGGAGGAGATTTTTGGATCTCTATATTAGTTCCCGCTGCCGATTTGCCGTTCGCTGCTGCTCTGATGTAATGCCGTCTAAAAATTCTATCAGTCTTGCTATTATATTGTCGTGAAGAATCTGGAACATTGTAGCTGCTGGTTTGAGCGGATACTATACTGCAACAATGGATTCATTTCAATTAAGTTTCCTAAAGAAGGATGCTGATTTTCTACTAGTTTTATTATTTTTATCAGGAGTCATCAACTAATTAAGATATGCAAACTAACTAGCTTAGTCCGAATCGTACTCGCTTACTGGGGTGCATTATCTCACGCTTTGCACTTATTAATTGGTGCCTTAAATTTTGTAAGATGTTAAAATGCTAGGTGGTCAGCTGGCATCCTGACACACTAGGTGAATGATAAAGTACTCAATATAATGATCGTCTTAGTAGTGGTCGAAATTCTCGCACTAGCTAATATTGCGCTCATGGTTATATTCTTTTTCGTTAACTAAATTTTATTTATTTTTTCATTAGGATTTCTTAGTCTAAGGATTTTAAAGAAGCAACCAGCGTAATCTGAGACCCTTATATTCAGCTCTAACTTAGGGGCTCACCATGGGCCGCTCGATTTGACAGCTGCGTCCAAAAGGACCGCCAATCGAACATTGACTCCTATTCAAAAGATGCATTGGCAAAGGAAGACTTGGCTTTTAGAAGCGGAGAACTGGTCGGAGAATATTCTTGACTGGATGATGGATGATATACTGGACCTAAGCCATATAGACCTGCCCAAGAAAGTAACTGGATCAAGGAAGCCCAAGAAGGATACACAATACGGAGCAACTTATGAGTTTATTAAGGATTGGGCTTATTATTCATAATGTAATAAGCTAGGATTGAGCTCATTATTCCTAATGTAGTAGGACTATGGTTTATTATTCCCAATGTAACAATAACTCCCAATTTAATGCAGTCTAGGATTCTTATTTCTTGTAAGACTCTACGCCCAAAATATGTATAAATATACCCTCATACATGGGAAAAGAAAATTAATTGCCATTATTCACAAGCAATATTCAATACTAGAGTTAATTCCACTAGAAGTCCATTGTCTTTGGTGGCAATTCTAATTTTTTCCAAATTATTGTTTTTTGCCATTTAACATCCACATTATTATTTTTGGACACTTTTACTCTTTTAGTCCTTCTCATGCTTTTTCTATTTTTAGTAAGGGCATTTTTGTCTTTTAATATTTTTTCTTTTGTAATTTTTCCGGTTTGAACCGATTTAATTGGTTTAGAACTTTAGGTAACATCTGATTTTTAGTAATCATAATTTTCAATCGGTCTTTATTAGTAAAGTCCTAAACCAATTAAACCAGTTGAAATTAGAAAAATTACAAAAGAAAAATATGAAGAGACAAAAATGTCCTTACTAAAAATAAGAAAAGTTATGAGAATGACTAAAAGTGTTCAAAAAATAATAGTATTTAGATGTTAAATGGCAAAAACTATAGTCTGAGACTAAATTTAGAATTGTCACAAAAAATTAAGGACCTCTGATAAAATTAACTCTTCAATACTACAATACATATTTATTCTCTCCATATATTTTCTCTATATATTTTTTTCTCTAGTTTAATAATAATGTTGGCTAACCATTAACTACCAAAAGTCATAAAAGTAACCATACTAATTGTTTTCAAATGTTAACTCAAAAGGGTAATGTGAGCACATGGATAGCAAGTGGAAGCTTAAGCTACTGCCTCTAAATTATTATACCAAAATGGATCTTTGTGTCTCAAAAAGTGGCAACACCACAACCAAAACCCACTTGATGCAGTTGAGAAAATCTCATTGGCTTAATAACACAAGGTTTATAATTGCTCTAAAAAAAAAAAAAAAAAAAAAACTTTTATGGGCCATACTCATCTCTCAAACCCCAAATATTTATTTGAAATGTGCGTGGCCCAGAAGAACAAAAATGATTTGATTTGAAAGGCAATGGGATTAGTGAGATCGAATTGACATTTGTAAAGATGGTTGGAAGATGCTGGACTAATGGACAGACCATATGATGATTGTTGTAATCAATTTGGGATTTGAGATATATAGCAAATTTATGTCAGGTTGTCACACTTTTTTATTCTTTATTTTCCTTCGTATAACATTCAGAGTCAATTTAAGTTGTGTTTATGTACACTTTCAAGAGTTGATTATCTGATTTTATAATTATATTATTAGCATTTTATTATTATTATTATTATTATTATGACATAATTTAATTTGTCAATCGATTTCAAAATAATTTTATTCGCTTTGTTTTGCTAGTAATCACATATAATCAAAAAATGATATGAATTTGGTTTTAGTGTATATGGCACTGGTGTATAAGCATTATAGAGTTTGTAGACTAGTTGATGCACGTCATGATTTACTTCCTCCACTAGTCTTCAATGTAAGAGCGGAGAGAGCTCTTGAGTTTGAAGTTCAAATTATATTAGCATCTTGCTTACCAACAATTTTAAGCTCCTAAATTAAGTTGTCACACTATTTATTTTAAGAAAAGCGTCAATTATATTTCCACCATTGTGATATTGATATCAATTAAATTTATCAATTATATGTGATATATATTCTTTACGGACTAAACCAGTTATTTCATTAAGTAGCACATTGGTGTCGGATTTAGCCAAGGACGGAGCCAGAAATTTGGTTGAGGCGGGGGCGAAGAAATAGGGACAAATTCAGAAAATTTTTTCAAAGGCGAAACATTAAAACAAAAGAGATAATTTAAAAAATAAAAAATAAATTACCTAAGAAATATAGTTGTAGATATTATTGGATATGGACGAAAAATAAAACACATCGAAATTTTATAAAAATATTCATAACAAAATATGAAACATAATTAATTTGAATTAAAGACACTATAAAATATTTTGATGCTAAGAGTTGAACTCTTGACCTTTTGAATTGTCAAACATGTGCTTAACCAACTAATCTAACTCATTCTTGTTGACATTTAATAGTATTTTTGTACTAATACTAAAACCTGTAGTATATATACATATATACATACAAAGATTATATATGGGGTGGGAGTGGGGGTGGGGGTGAGGGTGGGGCGAGGGGGGCAGCCGCCCCTGCCCTTTGGCTCCGTCCCTGGATTTAGCCCATAATTTAATAATAACTAAGAAGTTAACTTTACACCATAATCACAACAGGTAATTAAACTAAAAGTATAAGTTTTGAATTCGGATTTTGTTAATGATGCAATTAAAATAATACATTTTTATTTAAAAATTTAAATACACAGTGCATGTATCATTAGTACATGTTATTACACACTGATAGCACCTTTTAGACAAAAGTGCTGTGCTAATCAAGCTAAAGGTGACAGCATGTTTAGTGGGCTTAGCTAGGTTGTTAAAGTTCTAAAACAGCAATGAACACAATTACCTTTTAAAATGATGTATCTGTTTTTTTTTTTTGTTTTTTTTTTTTTCCCCTTCAAATTCTTAGTGCGTGTTTGGTTTAAAAAAAGCTCAAATAAACTTCAAAATTATCAAGTAAATTTTAATTTTTTTTTGAAAGTTACTGGCTCTATTACATTGTAGTATCTGTTCATATACTTTCTTAACCTACTGAAACACAAAGAACCAATAACGCCTCCACTGAGGCTCAAACTTATAATCTTCCAAATGGAAGTCCAACCCGGATACCATTGGACCACATAGTCCTGGTAAAACTTAACAAAAAATATCAAAAGGTGGGTTTCTCCCACTTGGCAGCCCACCTGTCTATGTCGAGGAATGCCCATAAGGTATGTCGAAGTAATCTCACATTTGCAATCCTATTATGCTTTCTAAACTTTATAATTTTGTGACATATATAAGACAGGATGATAAGCTAGTCAATGCTCGTTTCAAAATTTAAATTGATCTGACAATTGACTTAGTAATTATAAGGTTTCAAATTTAACTTATTATGGGAATTGTATATTGACTTTTTTGTTTGAGTCGGTTGATAATTTAAGATAGTTTACTTCATTATGATCTTTTACCAACTAAAATCACAAGACAAACTTCTCAGATCTCACAATATGCACTTTCATATAGCGATTGTAGACTTTTCCGTAAGTCAAAGTGTTGATTTTAAAACATAAAACAAAAAAAAAAAAAATGCAGGTGTTGGTTTGGGCTTATAGGAGCTGTCTTTGGGCCATGGAAGCCCTGGTATTATCGTTATGCGTTGGATCCGTGTCCAGCATGCTTGCTGGACACGGGTAACAGTGCCGTTAGGGCACTGTTATCTCCTTTTTTTTTTTTTTTTTTTTTTTTAATTTTTAAATTTCAGACCGCTTCATTGTAAGAGTATATGTTCATAATTTTATTACTATATGTTAATAACTATACATTCATAACTCCATAACTGTACGTTCATAACTCTATAACTGTACATTCATAACTCCATAACTGTACATTCATAACTCCATAATTGTACATTCATAATTTTCGAAGCTCTATGTTCACAATTTTAGAGCTCTATGTTCATAATTTTATCACTATATGTTCATAATTGTAAGTTCATAATGTTAGAGCTCTTTGTTCATAATTTGATCAATAACTGTACATTCATAATCTCATAACTGTAGATTCATAACTCCATAACTGTAGATTCATAACTCTATAACTGTACATTCATA